AGCAGTTTTAGATGCTTGGGATACAGCACTGAACAGTCCAGAAGCCTATTACTGGCAGCCATGCCCACCACCACAGCCTGGGCCAAGAGCCCGTGATGCTTGCTTGTTTGCCCAGAGGCCCTGGTTTCTGACCCTGTTTTAGGCCCTTCTCAGCACAGTGGGCGGACGGATCGTTTCAAAAGCTCAATCATATCCCATCAGTTTTCTATCTGAAACCCTTCAATAGCTCCTGCTTTTACAGAGTAAACGATGAATTGCTGTATAAGGTGACAGATATTAGCTAGATTTGTTGTGATGCTCATTTCACCAAGGTCAGGTACACCTGAAACTAACAGAACGTTTTATGTCAATTACACCTCAGTCAACGAAAGAAAAAAGAAAACAACGTCTCCGCAAAGACCTGAAGACCATGTAAAGGACCCACTGCGTGCTGCTCTGCCGTCCCGTTCCGCCTTTGTCCTATCCGCCTGGCTCACGCCACCACTCCAGTTCATTCTCGGTGTTGCTCCTCCGTCTCACAGGCTCACCCCTGCTCTCAGCCTCTATCTTGGCTCTCCCCAGGGTCTGGAACAGCCTCCTCTGGATCAACCTCCTCCACCTCCTTCAAGGCTGCTCCAATGTTGGCTTCTGGACGGAGCGTGCCCCATCAGCCAACTTAACACTGCAGCCCACCCCAGGCCTCCAGACCCTCACCTGCTCTACCTGCTGCCTTAGAACGCATTATCCTCTAAAGCACTATTAACAGGACACCTGGGTGGCTCAGTTGTTAAGTGTCTGCCTTCCTTCAGGTCATGATCTCGGGGTCCTGGGATGGAGTCCTGCATCCAGCTCCCTGCTCAGTGGGGAGTCTGCTTTATTTATTTGAGACAGAGAGAAAGCGGAAGAGAGAGAGAGAGAGAGAGCGTGAACAAGCAGAGGGAGCAGCAGAGGGAGAGGGACAGGCAGGCTTTCCACTGAGCAGGGAAACCCACATGGGGCTCAATCCCAGGATCCGGGGAACATGACCTAAGCCACCAAAGGCAGACGTTTCACTGACTGAGCACCCAGGTGCCCTCAACATACGAATTTTGGAAGGACATAAACATTCAGTCAATAACAAATACCATGGAGAAAAATAAATCTCAGGAGGGGAAATGAAAGAATACAAATATAGCAACTACCACTTACATAATAACTACCACATGCCAGGCCTGGTGCTAGGCACTTCACGCCCAGCGGCACAGCGGGGCCAGAGTCACTCTGCACAGAGTGGGTGCAGTTTCTGCCTCCACCAGTTCCACATCTCCCTCTGAGGACCACCCTGCCCCACCGTGCGGCTTGGACTGGAAAGGACGCTAGAGGAGGGCAGGGATTTTTATCTCTTTCCTTCCCTGCTGGATCTCCAGCAGCTAGAACAGTGCCTGGCACACGGCAACTGCTCAGCAAATGAACGAACGGATCCATCAGTCTTGAGCTGAGTAGCAGAGTGACCAGGCAAAGGGAATCCTGAAGAAAAATCAGTAACAACCGCTCTTCTGTCTCTGTCAAGAACTTACTTCCTCTGTGCTAAGTGCTCTGCACCATCCCAGAGAGGGAAAAACCATTCTCCCTGCATCGAGCTGAGAGGTTAAGTCACCTGCAAAGACAGACTGAGGCCTGAGAGGTACCCACCCCCACTTCCCTGTCTTTTTTTCGGAGACCTGCTTCTGCAGCTTCCCTGATCGCTTATCTCTTTCCTACTTACAACAACCAGCCTTTCTCTCAGATGCTTGCAAAGACCGCTAGTGAAGTCACTGCCATCTTGTCATCTGTGTCCCCAGAATGTCACCTTTACATTAAAATGTATTCAGAAACCACTACTCCAAGCAGCCACAGGAAGTAATAAAAACCCAGTAATTGTAGCAGTAATATTAGCTAACTTCTACAAGGGTTTACTATGAGCCCAGGCCCTCTGCCGAATGCCTGCTGTTCATCCCCGATTTCCTCCTCACGCCAACTTGTGAAGCAGGTGCTTTACTGTCCCCATTTTATAGATGACAAAACTGAGGCTTACAGAGGTGAAGTAACTTGCCCCCCAAATAACCCTGATCTGCACTACCTCTTATAGGCATTACCCAGATGCCTCCAGCAGCTACCTGGTTTCCTTCTCTTTCTTCCGGGTTCGTTCCCACGGGGCAAACCCTCCACTTCCCAACACTTCGGGCTGTTTCATCTCGAAGACAATGAGAATAGACTAGGGGCTGCTTGATTCCTTAAAAACAAAGCAGTCCTTGACAGTCACCTGATTCAGATGAGAACCAGGGCTGTGTTAGCCACCAGACTGGTGAAGACCACCGGCCCCTCCTCACCCGGCCCCTCCTCGCGCCACCCTCCCCTGCTCTTAAGCAGCTCATGGCTAAGAAGGGAAAAAGAGGCAGGTAAAGAAGTAATCCTGGGGCTCAGATTACCCACCAGACACCAGCAAAACAACATCCTCTACCTTCACCCCCCCACACAAAAAGAGGAAGAGAAAATAAAGGAAAAACAAGTCAGAATTCTGCCACCAAAAATGACTGAGACCATTTTGGCCTCGTGAATGTAAGTCTTGTGTTTTATGACCCACGGTGTCATTGTTTTTACCGACAGGGTTGAGAGAGGGGCTACGACAATCTTTGGATGGGAGGTTTGGAAGCTACTGGAGCTGCACACATGTAGGATAAAGGCAAGGACTCAGAGCAGTTGCGGGGAATGTGCAGAAAGGGGAAGATTTGCTCAAAGAGCCCTATCTCCCATCTGCTGTGATGTTGATGGTCATTAAATGCCGGTTACGAAGTCAGGCAGGGTGCCTGGTTGTGGCACTTTACAAATACTCACAGATTCTGCACCATGTCTGAGCTTCCTGTCCGGGCTCCGGGGGGCCTTTGCTCCCCAGGCTCTGGGGTCAGAGCTCTGCAGACACTAAAGGCCTGTCTGAGGCTCCGTGGCTCCACAAGGCGCAGCCCGAACCAAGGGGCGGAAGAGGCAGGCAGCCAGAGCCAGAGGTGTCTTTGTACAAGATGTCAGGATTGGGGCACCTGGGTGGCTCAGTCATTAAGCATCTGTCTTTGACTCAGGTCATGATCCCAGGTCCTGGGATCCAGCCTTGTAATCAGGTTCCCTGCTCAGTAGGAAGCCTGCTTCTCTCCCCCACCCCCACTCCCTCTGCTTGTGCTCCCTCTCTCGCTGTCTCTCTGTCAAATAAATAAATAAAATCTTAAAAAAAAAAGATGTCAAGATTTCTGTCCTGCCTGAGTCCTGCTGCTCTTGGTCAAAAAGCATCCTTTGCATATTCTTTTTTTTTTTTAAGATTTTATTTATTTATTTGACAGACGAGCTCACAAGTAGGCAGAGAGGCAGGCAGAGAGAGAGAGGAGGAGGAAGCATGCTCCCCGTGGAGCAGAGAGCCTGAAGTGGGGCTCCATCCCAGGACCCTGAGATCATGACCTGAGCCGAAGGCAGAGGCTTAACCCATTGAGCCACCCAGGCACCCCATCCTTTGCATATTCTTAATTTCACTGCCCTCTTACTTCTGGGAGCAGGCCCTGGGCCAAATCCTGACGGCTGTGTTAGTTCCCACCTGTGTGACTTCAGAGGCTACTTTCAACCACTCTGAGCTGTGGGTTCCTCATCTACAAAATTCTGGTAATAATAATAATTTTATATGACCACTGGGCGATTAAGTGAGATAATATATTTAAAGCCTTTAAAACCGATGCTGGCCCATGATAAGAACCTCATCATCGCTAGATACTTTATTATAATTGCCTGGTGAGGTTGTAAGGAGCATACAATCCAAAACACATGCTTGGCATAATATATAATTTCCCGTTATTATAGGAACTACTATCATCATTATTATTTATTATTATTACTATTGTTATTAGTTCCTTATATTACTTGGAGAAACAGAAGAGACAGAGGAGGCACCTATGAGAGAACCATCTGAGCAGCGTTCTCCAGTAGGCCGAGAATTTCTGAAGCTTACTAGGTAGACTATAGAAGTGGCCATCAATGGGGCTTATCGATGTTGCTCTGTTGCCACCTTGGATCCGGGGCTCCCTACAGACCCAGGATACAGAACAAGGGAGTCCTGGTCTCTTAAAGAGATCACAAACCAGCATCAGGAGAGAAGGAAAAAAACAAATGCAAGCAGAGTGATGTGTCTACAGCCAGCTGTGAAAGGGAATGCAAAATAAAAGGCCCAAGCATCCAGGAGGGCATCTGACATAAAAGAGCCACAGTCAAGTACAGCCTTTAATAGGCCCATGGCCACATTGCCAGACAATTCATTCCGGCAACTGTCCAACATCCTCGGCTTCCTCAGAAAAAGGCTGATCTGCCATTGGTCTGGCCAAATTCAGGGATATGAACACAAAGAAGAAGAAAGCAGGGGTGTCTTATCGTCCAGGAGACTCTTGAGCTGAGGTGTTGGAGAAAAGTGTCCATCCCAGGCAGGCAGAAGGTTCCAACCCCAGCAAGCCTGCCTGCCAGCCATTCAAGAAGAAAAAAAAAAAAAAAAAAGCTAAAGCCCATGGGATTGACTGGATGTGGACAGGGAGAATTCCTCCGGTGTTTAGACCAGCAATCACAGAGACCAGTGGGGGTCGGAGATCTCAGAACTGAGAAAAAGAACTCCCTCCTTCTAAGCCAAAAAAGCTCCAGCCACGGACAGAAAGAGCACACCAGACAGCATGGGGGAGGGAGGGAGGGGAGAGGGAGGAAGAGAGAGGAAAATCCGAAAAAGCAGCTGATTTGTCTACTCTTCCAGAGAAGCCTGGCTTATGCAGAATTCTGCACTCAGAGTAAGTAAAGCCACAACAATAAACAGGACCCTTCACCAGACCAAACTACAATGTGACCACATAATAAATCCCCTCCGGGAATTCAATGGGTACAGCATTATGGTCGCCCCTGGACCCAGCCAGCCTTTCCATCACCAGACCCACACGAGGAATTCCAGTTGGGCCTTCTGCCAACGGCTCAGACCACGAGGCCGTCCTCACCTCTAAGATGTAACTCCCCTCAAGTCGTGGAGACCGGGCCACGAGTCTTTGGCCAGCCAGCGAGTCTGTTTGTCCTTCTGCTGCTTCCAAGGTTTTTCTCCAAATAAATCTTTCAGGAAGTTCCACTCAGGGTTCAGAGGATCCATACAAGTACCTTTTCCACTGGTTAGAGTTTTAGAAAGATTTGCTGTGACCACAGGACTGTGTCAAATGAACAAGCCTCAACTTGTCAAGGCCAGTATGCAAAATAGGTCTGCAACATCCTATGACTAACAGCAGAGCAGATACAGTCCCTGTCCTCCAGGCCCCCGCCCACCCACCACACACAAACACACGTTTTTCTCCAGGCTTTGCTTCCTCCAGCAGCAAAACAGCTCCAGGAGGCAGGACTCACAGTGGTGGAGTGGGCCAGCGGGGGTTGCCAGCCTCCCTTTGGAAAACATAAGACCAGAAAGGAAAACCAAAACTTCACCCTCTACTCCCTAAAACCCCTCGCAAGTGATTTCCCCTCTTCTCTCATCTTCTGGAAGGGCCTGAAGCCAGGGGCTCCCGTGAACAGAAGAATATTCCATGCTTACAGAGTATCAGGAAAATTCATAGTGTATCCGGGCACCGGACACATGCAGCCTCATGGCTGCCTTCCTGAAAGTCAATACCCACCCCCAACACTGGCAAGAATAAGAGCATGTTAGTCTAAAGAGAGTAAACACAATTACACCAACAAGCCATCCAAAAAGAAGGACCATGAGAAGGGTGTGGGGGGAACCCAGCAAATCTGTAAATGCAATGCAAAAGCAGAGAAAGTTTCCAAAAACAGTTTCTCGGTTTTTGAAAATCATCTGGTGGGGGAAGATAATGGTCAAAGGATGGAGGCCGCATCACATGCTTCACAGACCTCCAGCTTCTCAAAAGGGTCCTCCAAACCCTATCTGCGACCCCAAATCGGTACTGATTGGAGGAGCTCTATTTTTAGGTGTTCGGTAAAAATATACCTTCCATCAAGTGCACAAACCCAGAATTATCTCACGCATGCATTGTCCATTTGATGTCTCCCCCCCCACCCCGCCCCCCACCAACGCCCAAACTCACGGCCACTCTCCAGTCTGGTGATGAGGAAAGTGCGCGGTTAACAAGCACACATCGGAATCCCAAAGCCCCTCTCCTCCGTCCAACTACTCTCTGCGCATCCCAACTCGCCAGGCCTAGGCTTGCGAGTTCCCAGAAACGCAGAGGGCAAAATTCTAACTTACTGGAAGGTGGATCCCGCTGTGTCTCGGCAGGTCGCCGGGACTGCCAACACCCTCTCCGCGTGGAAATCCGCTCGGGGCCCCGGAGGGTGTCGGGGTCCGTCCCTGCGCGCTGCCCCTCGCTGCCGGTCCGGGTCAGGCCGCCCCGAGCCTGCCCAGCCCGCGGGCCCATGTGCTCGGCGGCCGCACGCGCTCTGCCCGCTGGAGCGCGGGGCTGGCGGGCCGCCCGTGACGTCACGGCGGCTCGCGCTCGGGCCGCGGGGGAGGGGGAAGCGCGCGCCGCCCGGCCGGCCGCGTGCGTCCCGGTCCCCGCGCGCCGGGTGCTCGCTGGCCCTGGCTCCTAACCGCCCCGCGCGCCCCTCCGCCCGCCGCCGGGGCAGCGCGGGTCGCCCAGCGGCGGAGGGTTGCGCGAGGAGGCGGGGCGGGCCTCGGGCGCCTTGGCAGCGGAGGACCCAGAAGACGCTGGGCGGGGGGAGGGGAGCGGAACGCTGGGTACCCGGAGAGAGGGTGGGGGGAGCGCTCGGCACCGGCGGGGGTCCCGGCTGCATTGGCGCCCAGGCCAGAGCGAACCCGCGCGAACCCTGCGGGGATGCCTGCACGCTGGAGCGCCGCGATTTCCGCACTCCCGCTCCCAGCCTTCCTCCCCATCCTGGCGCTCTGGAAGCAGGGAGTCTTCCCACTTGCCAGATGGGGAAGGTGAGGTCTGTGAAACAGAAGAACCAAGATGCCCTGAAATGGGAGGGGAGACCCCTGTCTCAGCTCCATCCCTAGCGATCTGAGCGCCTCCGTGGGTACCACCCAGCATCCGCGGGCCTGGCGACGGGGGCACACGCACCTTCCCACCTTCTTGGATCTCCCTCTCCTCCAAAGGCTGAGGTTGGCAACCCCCCCCCCCTCCCCGCCCCGTAGAGAGCCGCTGTCTGCACCGTTCCCTCCACCATAAAGTATGACAGTCCCCCACCCCCACCCCCCAGTGCCCAATAATCCCTCCGAAGGAACTCCGGAGCGCACGCCTTTTTGCCTTTTTGTTTTCTCCTCGTTATCCCCGGACTGGACCTATGCAAGGAGCTGTCTCTTTTCAGTTGAGCATTTATTGAGCACCTACGGGGAGCCGAAACCCTGCGAGGTGATGGAGTTGGGCACAGACCATGGAAGGTCACAGTCCGGTGAAAAGATGGACGCAAGTGGGTGATTTCGGTATTATGGAAGCTAAGGCTTCCCCTGTCTCCCCACCCAATGCCTATCCTATATCATTTCTACCCACCCACTCCTCCCTCCCTCTCGTGTCATATTGTTCTATTTCCATAGCTTCTTCCCGACGTGAAGCGTTCTCCTCTCTTGGAAAAGGAAAAAAAAAAATGTTCCGTTGATGCTTGCAGACTGCCCGCTACACATACCTGTTTATAATCACGAAACAGTGATTTGGGCCTGGCGCCTTTGGGAGCTGGATGCGTGTCCAGGCTATGGTGGTCAAACCTCAGCACCAATCCAACAGGCTGTAGGAGCTGTGCGAACTTAGTCCTCTGATTGCTTAAATGTTCTCCCAGGAACCAAGGTCATCACCGGGGAGGGGACAGAGAGGGGGCGCGGGGTGGGGGGGCATAGTTGCCTGCTGGATGCTCCCAGGCCACCGGAGGCCCAGCTTCTAAAGGCAACCTCAATTCCCTTCCCGGGTCAGGACTGAGGCTACAGATCCTTCCGTTAGCTGCCTACCCTGGGGCCTCTCTGGGCTGAAAAGACACCTTGCCCTAGGACTCCTTCAGCCTTGACCTTGACTCTGTGTGCCCTCCCTAAATACCTAATACACTAATCCTGGGCTCACAATTTTCCTTTTTGAAAATTCTTCTTTAAAATTAAAAAAAAATTTTTTCGGGAAAATACAAAATATTTCAATATCCCTACCTTGAAAAATTAACTTTTTATTTTTTTATTTAAATTGAATTTAATTTACATATCCTGTATTATTAGTTGCAGAGGTAGAATTTAGTGATTCAGCAATTGCATATGACACCCACAAAATTAACCATCGTTTACATTTTGGTATATTTGCCCCCAATTGTTTTGTTTTTTTTTTTAAATCATTTGTTTTTGCAAAAGTGGTACAGAATATGTGCATTGTAAAAAACTGAAACTAATGCAAGAAAATACAGAAAATAAAAGGAAAACAAAACTTTATCAGCTAGAAATAATTTTCATGAATAGTAGATAAATTCCAGACATTTATCTTTTATGATATATATATGTACATATACATATATATAATAAAAAAGCAGGGTTGACAGAAGAATAGATAGATTAAAAAAATAAATCTATTGTAAAATATTAACACCTTAAAGTTGCTGTTTTCAAATTTAAGGTATTATACTTCCTCTTAATAGAAGAAAGGGAAGCTGATAGGAAGCTGAAAGAATTACTGGAACATTGTCAATGTTTCTTTACCCCATGAGAGATGTTTTTTCCTAAATAATTCTACAAAGGTTCAGAAAAGCAATGGTGAAAAACGAGAAGAGAGTGAATCCGGGTCTCTCCATTTTACAGAGCAGGCAAATCCTTCCAGGACGTCAGCACATTTCCTCTCACCTTCCCTGACTTCACCTCCTTTATCTGTGCTGCTGATACTCCATGGCCTCCCTCTACTTTATAACCGTGAAGCTCATGATCGGTTAGTCTTGGGTCTATAATGAAATAATCTCATGCTCACGTCCAGTCCTTTGCTTTTCCACATCCGCTTCCTCGTCTACAAAATCATCCACTTGTTTATCACACACTATGGAGCCCCTAGTGTGTGCCTGGCACGCCCTAGTGCCCAGGACACTAAAGCAAGGTCCCTGCTCTCCAAGGGCTTAGGTTCCAGTAAGAAGAGGTGGACAAAGAAGCCAGTAACCAAGACAGTTTCAGCAGTGATAAATGCTACTGAGACAGAACAGCTAGGTGAAGGGCAGAGAGGGAAGAGGAGGAGGGGAACTGACTCTAGATAGGAATCTGACCAAGAGGCCAGATGTGCAGACTGGAGAGAGTGCCCCTGGCCTGGGGAATAGTTAAGAGCAAAGGCCTGAAGCCACAGGAAAACAAGATCATCAATCATTCCACAAAGGCTGTCGAGTCAGACAGGGAAACAGTGGCCGGCGGTCATCCTTTTCTATCAGGTCAGGAATCACGTGTCTTCAGCTCGCCCTTCTCTCCCCAGCACACACTCTGTAAATAAACGGAGACCCCATGAGTGAATGAATGCACGGCCATCCTGGGTCTTGAGATAGGACGAGAGGGGAAAGTGCCAGGTGTAGCAGAAGCGCAGAGGGGAGCATCTATTTGGCACAGGCTGAGAAGACTCCCCAGGGAAAGTGGTTACTGAAGCAAAATTTGAAAAACAGATTAGAGTTGCCAATCCAGACGAGGAGGAGAATGGGGGTATTTGAGCAAAGGGAAAGACAAGTACACTCATGGGTTGGACAAACTATAAGCGATTGGCTACGGCCAGAGGATAAAATCACTGCTGGAGTGGGGGACTGGGTAGCTCAATCAGTTGAGTGTCCAACTCTTTTTTTTTTTCCTTTTAAGATTTATTTGTTTATTTATTTATTTGTCAGAGAGAGGAAACGCACAAAGAGGGAGAGCAGCAGGCAGAAGGAGAAGCAGACTTCCTCTGAGCAAGGAGCCTGTGGTGGGACTTGATCCCAAAACCCTGGGATCATGACCTGAGCTGAAGAAAGACACTTTACCAGCTGAGCCACCCAGGCATCCCTGAGCGCCCACCTCTTGATTTCAGCTCAGGTCATAATCTCAAAGACTGCACTCGCTGTCCTTCAGAGAACAGACTTCAGGGGGCACCTGACCAGAAGCAAAGACAGAGATTAGGAGGTAGCAGCAAAAATCCCAATGAGGGAAAGATAAAATCCTGGATCAGAGCAATTGCCTTAGGAATGG